CGGGTCCTTGGAGAGGGACATCATGCTTGGGAGGGTGGAGGGACAGCGCAGGAGGGGAAGACCCTCTATGAGATGGATCGATTCAGTGATTGGGGTAATCGGGATGGGTGTGTCAGAGGCAGTGCGGTTGGCGCAAGATAGAGCAGGGTTTGGGGCTGTTGTGCATAGGGTCGCTATGAGTCAGAAACGACTCGAGGGCACATAACAACAACAAACAATAAAAAGAAGTCCATGGTGTATGTTCAATACTCTTCTCAAGCACCACAGCTCAAACCCATCAATTTTCCTTCAATCATCCCTAGACCAGCTTTGTGATCCTAGCAAGTAATTGCAAAAATTAATGCCTGAATCACGTGCACTTTAGTCTCCAGACTGGTATCGTTGTTCTCAGTACTTTGGAGAGGTCCCTAACAGAAGACTTTCCCAATGCAATATGTCTTTTAATTTCCTGGCTGCTGGAACCAAGAGTGCTAATTGTGGAGCCTAGCACACTGAAGCTATGAACAATCTCAATCTCTTCACCATCTATCATAATGCTGCCAATTGGCCCAGTGGTGAGAATCTTTGTGTTCTTGATGTTGAGCTTCAATATATACTAAAGACTGCAGTCCTTGACCTTCTGCAACAAGCATTTCAGGTCCTCCTCAGTTTCAGCAAACAGGGTTGTGTCATCTGCACAATGCAGATGGTTGATGAGCCTTCCCAATGCTGATGCCACATTTCTTCTCATAGAGTCCAGCCTCCTGGATAATCTGTTCTGCATATAGATTGAGAAGGTATGGAGATAGGACACATGCCTTGTATCCACCCTTCCCAATTTTGAACCATGCAATGTTTCCTTGCCTGTTCTGATGACTACCTCCTAGTCCAAGCATAGGTTTCCCACAAACACTATCAAGTGTTCTGGAATTCTCATTCCTCTCAGAGTCAGCCACAGTTTGTTGTGGTCCACACCGTCAAATGCCTTTGTATAGTCTATGAAACACAGATAGATATTACTCTGGTACTATCTGCTATCAGCTAAGATCCATCTGACATTAGTTTTAATATCCTTACTATTAGGGCCTCTTCTAAACCCAGCGTGCAATTCTAGCAGTTCTCTGTTGATGTGCTCTCCCAGTCGTTTTTGGATAATCTTTAGCAGAATCTTCCTTGCATGTGATATTAATGCTATTGTTCGATAATTTCCACACTGTTGGATCACTTTTCTTTGCAATGGGAACAAATATGGATTTCTTCCAGTCAGTTGGCAAGGTGGTTTGTTCTCCAGATTTCTTGGCACAATTTATGAGCACATCCAGGGCAGTGTCTGTTTGTTGAAGTATGTCAGTTGGTATGCCATCAACTCCTGGGGCTTTGTTTTTTGCAAATTCTTTCACAGCAGCTTGAACTTCTTCCTTCATCACCACAGGCTCTTGCTCATAGGTTGTTTCTTGAAATTCTTCTGTGTCTGCTAATTCCTTTCATAGGACAGTTACATAATATCACTCACTATCAATATACTTATCATTATATTGCAGATGAGAAAACGAACATGTAACAGAGGCATCCGATTCTAGAGCATGTACTTTGAGATTTAAGCACATCACTGTTCTCATTGCAAACAGGCAACATAGGACCTTTGAGCCAATTAAAATGATTTTTAAAGCTTTTCAGCAGTGAGCAAAGGTTAAAAGGGGGGAAGCAAGATAAAAGATCAGTCTCCTGCCTAAAAAGATACAATTCCCTTTTACTTATATTTGTAGATATTTTTTTCAACGACGAAACAAACATGTGCCTGATGTGCATAGCATATTACCTATCGTGAGTATTCATCGGCAGCTCAGGTGGCCCAGTGGTGAGGAGCTGAGCTGCCAACCTGAAGGTAGCTGTCAGAATCCACCATCCGCTCTGCGGGAAAAAGATGGGCATTCTACTCCCATGTGATTTACAGCCTCTGAAAACCCGCTGGAGGGTCAACTACGGGTCCGTTCTGACTTGATGGTACATAACAACAACATTAATCATTTCATCCATATCCACATAAGACCTTTTCTGTGAAATTAGGAAAAGATGTATCTCTGTTTTGGAGACGCCAAAACCGTGCCATTTTCTTTTTGGGCCGCTCACTGACAAATGTCTAGAAGGCCAGGGCTTTGGAGAGGTTGGGGTTAGGGGCTGCCTTAGGCTTAGTGGGGGCGGGGCTGGGGAAGTCCTTGGCTACAGACTGTTTTCCATGCACCGTGGAGGTTTTCATGCAGCAGGGGGCGCTGCAGTAGTGTTCTTCATGGTCTGATGGTGTCATTCACCCAGCCACAGGGACGAAGCCAGGAGGTGTGGCAGGCAGCCTGTGGTCCTTTTCGGTCTTTCAACTTTAGTATCCAGCTCTTATTCGACACGGGCCATTCTCCTATCCCATATTTCATCATGCTGGACGCCTTCCATTCCGTCCTGCATTCGGGAGGAAAAGAAAAGGGCCCATCAGCTTCCTGCCTTCTTAGGTTAAAGGATAGCTCTGCATGGAATTGCACTGTGTCCTCAGGGTCGGCCTGACAGTCCCTCCAAAACCTGGAGAGGTCTCTGCAGGCTGCAGGGGCAGATGGTCCCTTTTCCACTTCTTGTTTGCATCCTTTATTTTTAATCTTACTGCTGGTACATTTCCGTGTCTGAGTACCAGGTGATCTGAGAGGGGAAATATTCCCCGATGCCCCCAGTGCGCCAAGGACCCTCCATTTCTGTTCCTGCACCGTGTGCATGTGTGAGACCGCATGTGTGTTTGTGAGCATCAAGACCCGAGCATTCGCCAAACCTGTTCTTCCACTCCCGGTTCCCGGAAAGCTCTCCAGCTGATCGGCCTCAGCCCTAGCAGCGCCAGGCACGCGCAGCGCTGGGGTTGAGCCCAGCCGGTACTAGTCGCCGCCGGCGCAGCCAGGCAGCCCCGGGCCGAGGAGCCAAGGCCTCTTCTGCGTCTCCTCTAGCTCCCCCTCCCGGGGAACGTGCTAGTCGCCCTTCTGGACGGCTTGTCAGCCATCGCCCAGGGGTCCCTGGGGCTTTCCCCGGAGAGAAATGGAAGGTGCAAGAAGCCAGAGGACCAAGGGGGTGGGCAGGGAGGAGGAGCCTCTAGCCCCGGGGAGAGTGGGCGGAGCCCCGGGAGGAGCTGGGTGGAGCCAGGGGCGGGGCTCGCCCGCGTTGGTGGGTTGGCCACGCAGGCGCGGGGGGCAGCTCTGTGAACCCCACGCGGGAGCTTGTGGAGTCTCTGGCCGCCTCTTCTCACTTCACAGGAGAAGGGGTTGGGGCCGAGAGAGAGCTAATAAAGAGTGAATGAGCTGCAGCCGCCGTGGCGGCCGGAGTCAGCCCGAGCGGCTCCGAAGCAGAGCGCTCGGGAGGCGGCGTGGGGAGGTGGCTCTCCCCGTCCCGCCCACCCTCTCCGCTTTCTCTCTCCAGCTGGTCCCAGAGCCCGGCTCGGTCCGGTCCCTCTGTCCCCACCCCACACTCGTCCACCTCCTCCTTGTCCCACTCCTCACCTAGGGCCACCCGAACTGCCATGGGGTAGGGGAGGCGCTACGAGCTGCGCGAACGACCAGCCCTGCGCATCCACCCGGGGAGCGCCCAGCCCGAACGCCGCTCGCCGCTCACGGGCGCCGGGCATGGGGAGCGCGGTGTGAGCCGGCCCCCGGGGAGGACGAGGAGTGGAGGCGACGGGCGCGAGGAGGAGGAGAAGGAGGAGGAGGAGAGGAGCGGTGGATTGGAAGGACCCGAGGGAGGAAGGGAGGGAGAGGAAGGAGGGTGGGGAAGCGAGGGAAAAGTGAAGCTGGGAGGAGAAGGCGGCGGAAGGTGGGGATTGATGCTTCTGTTTTTTGTTGCCGCTGCTGCCCTCGCGCTGGGAGCTGAGCCGGAGGGAAGGCGGTGGAGAGATGATTGCAGAGTTGGTGAGCAGCGCTCTGGGGTTCGCCTTGTACCTCAACACCCTGAGTGCAGATTTCTGCTATGATGACAGGTAAGGAGGCGGAGGGGGAGAGGAAGGGGAGACTAGGGCTGCGTGGGGACTCCCTCGTGGCTCTGAAGCTTCCTGCTTTTGGATTTGAAGTGCACCTTGGAGGCATCAATTCAGGACCTGAAGGTGTGGGAAACACCTGAACACACACTTAAAGCAAACACCCGGGATGCAAGTGCTCTGGGCGGGGTGCAGGGAGTTGGGTTCTTAGTTTGCAGCAGGTTCCTTCTCTGGCTTCCTGGCTGTTTGGCAGACGCTTAACTTTCTTAACGGAAATCCCAGCAATTTGGGCAACTGCTTAATGTGTATATAAATATATACATTTTTAAAGGTTTTTTTTTTTTGTTTTTTTTGTCTAGTTTTTTTCCCCCCAGTCTTAGGTGTTTCTTGCAGCAAAAGCACATTAAGCGATTTTGCGTCTGGCTTGGAAGGAAGCTGCTCCCCGCCCCCTAATAGATCTTCCCTGTAACGTTTCCTTTTATTGATGGGACACTTTTATTTCCCGAGGTTAAAACAGACGTTTGACAGTTGCCAAAATAGTGGGACTAGGGATCGCGCTAGCCTTCAACTTTTCCGCTTGGCGTGCGGAGTACTTCACTCTGAGCCCAGATAAGGCTGTGTCTGGTCTTCGCTCCTCTCCCTCACCCCGGCATGGGGGATCCATGGAGTTGCACTTCAGAAAAGTCTCAGTTTGCATTTCTGTTTAGGAGTTTTGCATTAGACTTTAGTGATTCCCCCCCTTCCCCTTCTAACTGGGGAAGAAAATGCCACCAGGGGACCAAAGTTGTCTTCTGATTTGGGTTAGTTTGGGTGGCTAATGAGACCTGAACTGTGTTGTCTGAGAAACTGCATCGATTTCTGGAAAATGTCACAGTTGTGCTAGAGTCTCTACCTATTTTTTAAACGTTGTTAGTGTTTAGAAACTGATGAAAAGCTCCAATAGCCATTAGGGAAAATTCCAATTTGTGCCTTTTCCGGTGACTTAATCTGATTACAATTAAAACAGATGCATAATTAAAATATATTAGGGAGAACAGCACGCCTCGCTAAACTTATTAACCGTCCTGAGGAGTTTCATGCTCCATTGAAATTAAACCATCCAAAAAGTGTGCACAGATTTACTTTGACAGCTTTTCAGCAGCCTCTTTGGGCTATGGAAAGTGAATGGATCCCCAGGGTCATGGCCTGGCAGCCAGCAAGCTTAAGCAGAGTAGTTGATAGTGAGGGGAAGTGAAGGCAAAGTCTTCTGGTGGTAATTAGCTGCACTCTGTAGTCTCCAGTGTTCCCACTCACCGGCTAAAAGCATGTTCATGGATGCATGCTCTCAAGCAGCAAATCTTGGTTCACATCCACTTGTCTGTTAGGAACTCCTCTGATAATAGTGTAAGAACATCCAGCAGAACCATCTTAATGCATTTGATGTGCTATTTATTGGGGACTAATAGCAAGACACTACTCAACAAGAACTTTTCTCTAGCTTGGAAGCTGTGCACACATTTTAGCAGTTCTGTTGCATTCTTTGAGAATTGGAGGATTTGATAGGATAAGGTGAGCTGTTGCTTCCCCCTCCAGTTTTCTATTACAGTGCACCTGCTATTTGGAGAGTTTGGTCCTGAGTTAAAGCAGCTTGCTTCCAAAGATGACTAACTTTTGAGTAAACTAAGGACAGGGGATGAATCTTGGCAGTTACTGGCTCTGTTGAGGCAAGTTTGAAGTGCAAGTATTTAAGAATATACAATTTATAAAAACAAAATATAACAGTGCAACAGTTGTAGAACATTGTTCTACAGGAATCTACATAGATCAAGTGTTCCTATTTTATTTGCTCTAGATTTAAACTGGACTGATTTTGCAAATACATTTTTCAGTAAGTCTAATGCGTATTCTCTCTAATCATCAGACAGATTAACTTTGGGGAGTTGTTGTGAGTGTGATGATAAATCTGTGGGCTTTGTTGTTTGCTAGCTGTTAGGAATTCTTCATATGATGTACACTGAATGAAGTGTTCGTTTTCCTGACTTCTATATTGGTGTGACCATACTGTTATATGCTTATGTGTTTTAATTGCTATGATGCTAAATATTTTGTGTAGGACAGCTAGATGATGTACTGATTGTTGTGATTTGAAAAGTATTATTTTTCTTTTTTAGTAGGTGACTACTTATGTAGTAACATACTTTTAAAAATACCAAATTTGGGGTTTGTGTACGTTAGGTACTGTGAGATTCTTACTAAGAGGAGCTCTGAATTTATTTGCGGCATACACAGCATATTAAAGCTGTTGAATGTCAGAATGCATTGTGAAGTGTGACTTTTCAAATATCTACAACAACTCACTGGAGTGTGGCATAGAAAAGGAGCTGAGGAGGCAAGTAGGAACTGGAGAATAAAGAGGATATGTTTATTCCCATAAGTGCATTTCGGACTGCCAAGAATCAAATTCAAAATACTTCTAATACTACAAATGTAGATTCTGATGGCTTCTCTCCCAAGCTCCCCAAAGCTTTTGTGAAATACAGATCTTTAAGGGAGGCCAGTGTTGGAATGAAGAGAGTGGTACTTAAGAAGGGAGATGGCTCTTATGCCCGACTTGGCTTAACTTACTCAAGACTTTATATTTTAGCTTAAAGAATCTGGCACTTGCTTCAGGAGGGTTTATTTGCTGAGGCTCGCACATTATTACTGTGGTACTTCCCAAAGTTATCATTTCTTTTAAATATAGTGATCAAGTTTACTTTATATACTATATGTGCAATTACTTTCAGTGCTTTATGGAGCTTGGTTGTGTTTAAATGGTAACTCAAAACTTTCTTGTAGCAAAATCAATTTCCCCGTAGTAAAGTTCAATATTTCAGCAAGTGTTTTGTGCTGAATTGAAGACTGCTACAGTGTGATAAGACAAGTCTAGAAGAGTGGAATTCACAGAATGTGATGAAGAAGCATGTATGGTTCCAGCTTCAACTCTACCGCCTCTTGCCTTCTTGAAACAACAACATGCTGACTCTTAGGTGGTTAGGGAAAAACTGGAATTATAAATTAAAAATTGCCACATTGAAAAACCATATGTGTCCCATTGAAAGACTATTTATTTTTGAGAAATGTGTTTAGGTCAGTGGTAAAAAATTGTGGTGACTCTCCAGAGTTCCTTCTGTTTAACATCGTTAGTAGAGGATGACACTGCATCATTTTCTCTGCATTCCCTTAAAAATACTAAGTCTCCCATGGAGATAACAATAAGCTTATTTCAAGGCATCAAGGATAAATCAGGACTGTTGTTTTTTTAAAATGTGATTTCTCTTTGTCCATATTATCTAATTGATGTAATGAGATAGGTGTGTGTGTGTATGCACATACATAAGAATATAATACAATGTCCCTCTTTTTACATTTTTTCAGTTTTTACATGTTAGCAAATTAACACATTAATTAAACAAAATGTGATTTAATATTTTGGAAATAAGAAATGTATTTGTGGCTTCTTTGAAGAAGCATTTGTTAAACCCCAGAATGACCTATAAGTTTGTTAGCTATTGCACTGTGCCATATTTGTGTGAAGCAGAATATTCTACTCTTGAATTTAAAACATTCCAAATTCTTGCTAGAAAATTTATAATCATATGGATGTAAATGTAAATCTTAGTTTTTATAAAGATACTGGTAAAGATTTATTTTCCTCTGCAGTCATTGTGATTTTGGACATCAGAATCTGAAAGAAAGAAATGCAAGATTTAAAGAATAGTAACAAAATGGGCCCAAGCCTGTCAGAAACCAGGAAGACAGGGTAGACTTAAGGTCTGTTGTTCACAGGGTTGCTGTGAGTCATAGTCAGCTCTATGGCACCTAACAACAGCAGCAATTTAGAATCTTTTTTTTTAAAAACGCACCAAACAAACCACTACTTGCTTTTTCAGAAGAAAAAAGAAAATAAGCAAAAACATAGTCAACTCTTTCTTCCATTGTACACTTTTAATATTAATAATTTGAGGTTTTAACCCTGTGTGATAAGAATCCCCTATGAAATGATCATTCTGTTAGCATCTCTATAAAGGGTTCCTTCTAATAGGCTTGCTTTCGGACTCATCAGATTTATTATCTTAAAATTCTGCTATGTTCTGTCACTGAAAGTATGCATGGTATTTCATAAAAGCACATTGAGAAAGAATACTATAAAATTAAATAAGGGAGGCGTGTCTAAGAGTGTCTCATCAGCTCATTATTGGAAGAAACCAGTGTTTACGTTGTTTTACTTTAAAAAAAAATTTCCTTGTCAGTGTGTAATAGAGCAGAAAAATGCAGTTGGATAGAATTCATAGCATATGAGTTACTTTACAAGGTATTTTGTTTTCCAGCTGTTAGAAAAGTCCATTTTGCTATTTTTAACAAATATTTTTGTTATCAGTAAATTAAGATTAAAATCAAGCAAATTCAGTGTTGATTGTTTTCTGTTACTTGTATTGGTCCTGTCACATGAGGATTTTAGCAAGTGACCCAAATACAAGCCCTTAGTGGACATGCACAAATACCGTAGGGAGAATCTCTTGCCATCTGTCTCTTATTTGCATCCAGAGGTGTGTATGTGTATATGCCTGAATTTAATGGAACTGTCTGGTTTTTCCAAGTCTCACCAGTTTTCTACTTTGATGATGTAGTGTTACCACTTTTCTGTTGCAATTAGTGGAAACTGGATGAGATTCCTTTCATTGACAGGTTCGTGCCTTCCACAGGTTCTCACTTTCACAGGTTTTACTCTCTCTAAGGAAAGGTAGAAGGCAGCTCTGGTGGCTGAGTGGGCAAGGAGTTGCACTACCAACCCAGAGTCAGTGGTTCAAATCCACCAGCTGCTCTGAGGGAGAAAGATGGCAAGTAAGGAAACATCTAGGCCATTTACAGCCTCTGAAAATCTGCTGGAGGATCAGCTGTCAGTTCTGACATGACAGCGATGAGAGAGAGAAATAAAGGTAGGAGTGCTGGTGGTACACTGTTTGAGAACTAGATTGATAACT